TCATGGCTGCTGCCGCCTTGTGTGGTGTAAGCTTACTTTTAATAGCATTTCCCCAATAGACTACTCATGGCTGCTGTCGCCTTGTGTAGTGTAAGCTCAATTTAAGTGATGAGGTTTTCAAATCCCATCAATTTACTACTGTACTCGGAGGAATTACCACGAATTACTACCAGCAATGGTGCAGCTTACATAGAATACTGTTTAACACTACTTCAGTAGTATTATACTGTACTGTAGTATTCACCGTTGGTACGATTAACGTTCTACAACGTTGTTTGCCTTCGTAACGGTGTTTAACGTTAACGTTAGGATTGTACTCCTAGTACAGTGTACTTCAGGATTGTACTTATCGTAGCAAGCAATTACATAGTCCCACCCACTTACTCAGGGACGTTTTAGGTCAATAGTACCAAATTCCCTGAGTGAGTGGGCATTTGACCATTGAGTGGGTGTGTCACCCACTCACTCGGGGAATTGGTCGGTATGAAGCGTTGAGCGAAGTAAAAACCGAAGATTACACACCGCCCCTGGTCGAGCAGGCGCGTTACAATTGGCGAAGCGGTTCCATAACATGTGGTTCTAGTGTCGGCCCTCGCGAGGAATGTCTTAAAAATGATAATCCAAACTCAATTAACCACTCCATTGTACTAATGTTAGTACCTGACTTCGAAGTACTACTACGTAGTATTACAGTTCTAGTACTACCGTATACTATTAATAGTATGACATTTGATATACGGTATATGTACTGTCTCGTATTAGAGCGCGTCTGGCAACACTGTTTTTTCTCAGAAATATTATACCAAAACGCCATTTTGATGGAATAATGGAAATCTGGACCATTTTTTATCGAGATATTGCCAGTAAGTATATTATTGGCATTTTGAAAACATGGCTCCAAGGTCCATTTTGATTATTGAATAGTAATCGTGTTGGACTATGAGTTGTTTCCAAAGCCATTACAACACGGAACACATGTGCCGTGAGGTCCAACGCGGTTTGGTTGACTTGTGTGACCTTGTGGTCAGTTAACCTCCTTTTTGGAACCCGTTGTTCTGCTCATTTGCCTGAATCAGCTTGGGCTCGTAGCTGAGCGACAAGGAACGAAAGCACCAATGTACGCTTTCACACAAAAGGGAGTTTTCGTTTCGTTATTCAAAAATCACTGATTGAGATGTATTCGCCCCTTTACGAAATTCCATTTTATCCTCCAACTGTGTTACCAGACGACACGCTCTCAAAAACCTGAAATATTGCAATATTCAGGCCCAAAACGCCATTTTAGGGCCGAATCTGATCAAAAGTGAAACACGTCTTGCTTGAAGAGATTTAGGGTGCGTCTGGTATATTTCAAACATAATATTCCATTTTCTCGCAAAATGGGATAAATAAAAAATGCCGATTTTCAAAATGGAGGTAAAAGGTCCATTTTGTAAGATGGCGTTTTGGACCTCTTCAACGAGTAAATCCCACGTGGAAATATTGAATTTGGGTTAATTTTGCAATATTTCCAGTTACCAGACGCACCCTAAAATTCTAGTGATATTAATATTGTGAATTCGCTATAAATTTCCAAAATTCGCGTGGTTAGTCTAATCAATATTGAATCACACTGGAGTTCTGATTGGTTGATTGGTTGAATATACTTGTCCTTTCTAAATACGAACCAATCAAATCCACTCAAAACTGGATGAGCCAATAGCGTCGATTCGGCAGCGAGATTCGATTCGACGGGGTTTGGAAATTTGTTATTGTACTTTTAAGCTTGGTATTTTTGATAGATTTGACGAACGACGTCAAAGCCACCTGAAATCGTCAAGACGTCATTTTACTTGAACTAAATATACTCACTGAGACTCCTGTCCGATACAATAATGTTGAACTCTTTGTGAAATGGAAATGCACCGGATACGCCTGCAATTTGATTGGTCGAATTTTTTTTCTCGAAAATTTCATTGGCTACTTCGGTCGATTACTGCGTGGATTTTTCTTCGTCGATTCGATTGGCAGCGCCAGTCCATTTTGAAATCGAATTACCAATACCGAATCCACAATAATATCGATTTTTTTCAAATTGTCCCAATTCTCCATGGTTCGTTCAACCAACGCGAACAAGTAGAGCCGAGAGTATAGTAACGTGTCCGACCATTGATGGGCCGAACGACCATTGATGGGCCGACTTATTTCATCCAATTATAACGCCAATCAACTCTGATTGGACAAAAGGCATCCTCTCGACAAATTTAACCTGCATGAATAAATGGAGGGGAAAATATTACATATTAAAGGTTCTTCAATGTATGAACCGACGAAATGCCGCCAAGAACGCAGGTCACCATGGACAAGGCCGTCCACGATGTGTTAAGCAAGTACACACGACATCAACTGCTGCGGAGGCCTATGGCGTTCCATCGCGGACGCTTCGGAAGCATTCGGCAAAAGCTGACCCCGGCGTCATCGAAATACAAACATCTCTCAAGGAAGACGTGACGGTTAGTGGTAAGGACAGTTAATAAATTAAATGTTATTATTGTTTATGCTAAATGTTGTTATTGTTCGAAGTTAAAAGACACAAGAAAAAGATTTTTTTTTTGGCTAACGTTATACTAACTGTTATGATTTATGCTATATTCAGATTCCTTGGGCACTGTGACCACCTCGAAGAATAATCTTCACTGGTTAACCTTTGCCCTGACCCAACCTACTCCCGTACCTGGTTTGTGTTAGCAATATTCCTTCTGGACACCAGAAGGAATATTGCTGAATGACACACAAACCAGGTTGTCCAAGTATCGTACAACGGGGTTTTGCGCATGCTCACCAACGTTTGTACAAACGAGCTATATTGCACAAACGAGTTACAATATGAGGTGTATATTATTCCACGTGTGCCAATAACATTGAAAATTTTATTTTCCAACTGAGACTCCAATACGTGATACCTGTTCAGATTTGGTAAACCTCTATAAATTCATATTTCTCGCTGGATGAAAAAAAACTGACACCTGGATTCTTCATACTTAGTTCAAGTATAAAAGTTGGCCCATCAATAGTCGACTGTGTAAAGTGCTCGACTTCAAAAAAATCCTGTACATTCCTAAACTGTTTAAATCGATATCCTTCGAGTTATTCATAAAGTACTCATCATTACCTATCCGAAAATGTATCATTCCCACTCGGAAAACATAAAACAACCGAAATAATTGAGATTAAAAATGAAGAAAAGTTGGCCCATCAATGGTCGGACACGTTATTGTCAAATCGATTCGAAACTAGACCCTCAACCCCAATTTAAGCTTGTACAAACTATACGATACAAAGATTAGTATATATATATATTTGTATGGATTGGACTGAGTGGAGTCAACCGTTTGCATTGGCAGAAATTACCAGAGCGTGATTTGATTGGCTTAGGCAGTTCTTTAATCTATTACTATATCATTGCGTGTTCTCGATTAACTGTTAGTTGGCGATTTCATCAATCCCCCAAAATTGGTAAATTTGACAATAGATCGTTTTAGCAAGTCGTAAAATCAATTGCTAAAACGATCTATTAATATGACATTCGATTGTGCAAGGTGCAAACAACGTGTACTAACTATTAGTTGCATCGACGATATATTAATACTAAAACTACATACGTTTAACACCACAGGATCTCCCGCTCTTCGACGACGGGCACGGCGGTGGCATCCCGCGATAGATATCTCGGCATGGCGGTGCCGTCCACCTCCACCTCTTCAAGCTCCGGCGTCTTCTTCTCCGCCATCATCCGCCTCTTCCGTCCCCGCGGCGCCGCGGCGGCACTGGCGTTCGCCTCTGCCTTGGCTCTCCTCAGTCGATCCCGTCGGGCGCGCTCGCCTTCGTGCTTGCGGCGGTTGGCCACATGTTGCTGTGCCAGGCGCTGTCGTTCTGCGTCTTCCGCGTCGCGAACTTGGCGTTCCCGCGCCTTTTGGACCTGGAGCTTCTCTTCTTGCACGCGGAGAGCCGCCGCGGCCGCCGCCCTTTCCTCACGGACGCGCCGATTTCGATTCGCCACATGTAGCTGTCGGTTGCGCACAAACTCGGCTTGTTCCCGCGTGCGCGTTCCTCCAACCTCATTCCCGTCTCCTTCATGTGGCTTCTTCTTCTTCTTTTCGGAAGATGATTGTTGAAGTTGAAGTTGAGGTTGAAGTTGAAGTTGAGGTTGAAGTTGGCAGCAGCGAAAGTCGTCGTCGTCCAGAGCGGGGGGTTTGGGGTTGTTGCGGGGGGTTCTGGTTAAAAGGACTTTATCCCGTCGGCGCTTGCGGCGGGCCTGCCGCTCCTCGTCGCTCGAGGACGCGTATGAGAACCCGTCAAACACGACGCGATGCCGCCGACGATGATGGCCATCGTCGTCTTCAGAGGAAGAAGAAGGAGAGGAGGGAGATGTGGCGATGGTGGTCTTGGCGCGGTGGGTGATGGCGTACTCGGCGGCGGCGGCAAATGCCGACTCGGGCGGATGCAACCCGCCGGCAGGCATCGCATCTTCTTCGTCATCTTCGCTGCTGTCTATGATCCGTCGATGCGAGGGAGGAGGATGTAGCGATGGCTTTCGACGACGAGGAGGTGGAGGTGGTGGTGACGACGGCGGCTGTGGAGGTGGTGGTGAAGAAGGCGGCTGTGGAGAAGACGGCGCGGAGAGGTGGGGCGTTGGATTCGATGACAGAGGTGGTGGTGGTGGGCGCGGTTGCGTGGATGCGTCGGAATCGTCGGAATCGGTCAACGTCAAGTCGATGATCGGAGGTTTTGTTGCAGTCGTAGGAGGAGGAAGGGGTGTGCTGGACGCTGGATAGGGAGATGGTGGCGGAGGGGCGGTGGGAACAAGACTGCCGCCACCGCCGCGACGAATCGTGTCTTCGTCAAGGTACCGGACCACGCCGTTGAGAAACCGCACGCAAAACGTGTCTGACGGGACCGGCAGAAAGTATAACACGGTGCCCGTGATGTCGTCGGCGTCTGGACCAAACGGCACCACAACCTTGGTGCCCACGAGCGGATGGTGGCGATCCTTGGCCGCGACAATGGAAGGTGGAGGGGCGCGGTCGTCGTTGACGAGCTTGAGCACTTCGTCCCGCGTGAGCTCGAGCTCCACGTCCGAGCTCATGTGCATCCGCACCTACATATAAACGACACAATATTCTTTCAAGGCGAGAGACAGGCGTACGATGAACTTGAACGTTCCAGGGTCATAGGAAAGGACCACACCGGGCTTGGGTGTGTTGAACGTGATTCCCACGAGGCTTTGATTCAATTGGTTCCTATGTTCATACGCATCGTATCCCTTAGTCCCTCTGGTCTCCACCGCATGTGATTTTTCGTCATCGTCGGAGCATGCATGTATGTTCATACCTCGACTTGGGTTGCCGTGCCATTCTTCTTGGTGCAAAACGGTGGAATCTCGGGGCTCAACGCGTATCCGGAAGAATCGCGTATTTATCCGGTGAATTGGTCGCTTCCCTTCAACCAAGCTCGTCGCTTTATATATACAATTGATTGGCTATAAATAAAACATTTTCAACCAATCAACACAAAGTCGTGTATTTCAACAATATGCAGTACCTTTACCGTATTCGAAATCTAAGTACTAATAGTAATGCTGTAGTAGTACTAGTATTACGTTTACATTTTTAGAAATCTCAAGGAGTAATAAAAAAAGAACCACAATATTATGCGGCTGTGTGAACACATTTCTTTGCCACGATGTATACCTAGGTGCACCAAGTCACGACAGTTACATGTTCACGTCATGGCGATCTTGATGAAGTTAACAGTAAATTTCCAGTCTTCCGAAGGAATACTACGTAGTACTAGTAGATGCCAGGGACATGCTGCACCAGTCAGTACTACTACTACGTAGTAGTAGTATTGCTCCTGAATCCATAGCTTTCTGAGAACTCGGCAGTGCCGTCGCCGCAACTAGCTTGGGGTACTGTTGAACATCAAAAGATTCTTCACCCAATTAGACCCCTCCGTAATGAACGCAATTGTGATTCCGAGATCAGTATGTACATGTATGTAGATAATATTGTTTTCAGAAATATTTGGATTCCAAATCAAATATACATTTGGCGATTCTATCGACTTGCATTAAAATACACTGGACGTCGGGTACTACAGTATATTGTTCATATTAAAACCACCAGTTCGTCACGGATTTATTTCTCGTGGAACGGTATCCGTTGTTGTGATTGGCCCATGACAAACGGGCCCAAAAGGATACAAATTTCAAGTGAACTTTGGCGGGTTTTGTTAAAAAGGCGTGCAAAACCATGATGCAGCATGAACTAGGACATGGCACCACGTTATAAATTAAAGGGACAACGACGACGAGGGGTCTGCCCGGGTTATAAGTCCAAGGCGAAGATGCAGTCGTCGTCGTCGTCGTCGACGCCTGTGGGGCTGCCGCACGTCCAGAACTCGTTTGAGGCGGCGTCACTGCTGTGCAGTTTTCGGCGGAGATGCATGTCTCGCGCGTCCAATTCATCCAACGAATGTGTCCGTCGTCGATTCCAGTCGATTTCAATCGGTTGACTACATCCTGATCGCGTGTCGTGTACGGGACGGCGGGTGGTGCTATCGATCCCGGGATGCCCAAGCGGCGATGACGCGCCGCCTTCAATGCACGGCTCGTAGGTGCTGTTGAGCGTCTGCTTGACGAGTACCTTGAAGTCTTCGGCAAACGAGGACGACGTGGTGGCGGCAGCGTGGCGGGTGGCGAGGGTCATGGGCTTGTCGGCAGGATATGATGTGATCACGAGGTGGCAGATTTGCAACTGATGGTAGCACAAAGGATGGTGGGATTTGAACAGTGGGATGTCAAGATTCCACCAGTTGCAACGGGTCATTGTGTCGATGACAAAAACGGGTACTTTCTCCGGATCCACACTCAGATATACAGTGTATGGTGCCGGTGAACCATCGAGCCCTCCTTGCTGGGGGGCTTGTGCTGTAGTACTACTAGTAGTCTTGCGTGGCTTTAGCAAGAGAATACCGACGTACGAGTAGTATGGGGTATGTATAGCTAGGGGCTATACTAAAACCATTCGCTTTCAGAACATCGCGTGGGTCAATGCCAACGAGAATGACTTGCTCGGGTTTAGATACTACCCAACTGCCAAGTACGTCGTCGTCACCGTGTATCTGTCGCTACGTGTACCAGAACTACATACCACCGCAAGACCAACTTGGCGTTCTTTGGTGTACTTCCCATGTACTACTGTATGTACTAGTACTACTACTTGTACTCGGTGATGGTCCAGTTGTGTTGGTTGGGAAAGACATGAAACCACTTCCTACGACTGACTGACTAACGTTACTGTACGTCAAGACCATAGAAGTCGCATATGTGTATGCTCATATCCAGCGCACGTTACAGCGCAAGTCCAAGTTGTCGAATGCGCCAGCTACACCCTCGCGCTGACTACTTTCATATTTATGGTTCGATATGTGTGACAGACTTCGTTTCAACATCCCCTCGTCGCAGCAATGACAGTACCTGATTTTGTCAAACTTGCACCCGATTTCGTCATCCGGATAAAAGTGCGAATCTTTAAGGCTGGTCGGTTGTTCAAGATGAACAGGAAGGTCATGACGGCGAGGAAGGATGAGGCTACCGGCAGATGAACAATCGTAATGGAGGAACGAGGGTGGCGTTGTTGTCTATCATGGCTAAGGCAATGCACAATCCTCGAGCTCGAGTACTCACCACTTTCACATGCCGCGAACAGAGACGCGTGTTTCCCTCTACTGCTGTATATTTTCCTTCGAACGTTGTCATGGTTAACCTAGTAACGTGGTGTATTGGCCGCAACATCTATCATATCAGTAGCACAGAGAGACAACCATGGTGCAGGTCGTGAGGATGGCGAAGGCGCACGCGAATGCTGCTGGCACAGGTTCGATCGGACGATTCGCTGAAGAGTCCATGCAACACAATCATGTACTCGGAGCAATGGAGGCTGTGTAGGACATACTAAGCCCTCTGTAGTAGTAGTAGTACAGAAGATGGACATCGTACATGCGTGTGTGGGACATCATTCCACATCAAGGTGAATACCTACATTGAAACCGAGTACTTGGCCACCACAGTACCACGAAAAGGTGGCTCGGCCCTTGAACCTTTTCCAAGTATCTACTATGTTCCGATTAGTATGTACTTCTAGTATGTAAGCTTAATATTTCCTCAAGTTTACCACCATCATGTATTAATAACGTGAAACGATCAACAACGTTCTCATGAACGACACAGGAGACAACGACTCGGACGACACGGGGCACGATATCGTGCTCAGCCGAGAAGACTACGAGCTACTCCACGTACAACTGTATGATCAATGCAGCCTTGTACTTATACACTAGATACGTGCCAGGCGTTTCACCGGTTGATTCCACTGCCGGCGCTGTCGTCCGGCATCACTCGACTTCTTTGCGACGAAGACCTGCAAGTCCCCGACGACGATGTTGACTGTACTTCTTCTACCGCGGTACGTCTATAGCTTCAACCTGCTTCATACTATCGCGTAGTTTCAAACATGAACTCTTCCCTCCATACTCGTAGGCTACGCCGTCCATGAAGAAGCGCACGTCCCATGTGGAAACAATGCGCCAACTGCGAGAACCGGTGGGGATTGATTGCATGCTTGTGCTCGTCTTGATGCGTACATTCGTAGCCGACCAAGCCCCGCCAGGAGACTGACCTGACCAAGCTCACCACCCGTCGGCAGCCAGAACAGCTGCGACCAGAAAGCTCGTAGAAATATACTTAACTGTAAAGTAGTCGAGTTTTTCAAAATCTATTACTAGTACTTACTAGTAGTACTACGTAGTAGTACTATTATCAATATTGTCGATTTGATACAAATTTGGGGAGGGGGTGCAATCGAATCGCGCCGACCAAACCGATCCACAATCGATCTGATTGGTTGAATTTCATTGAGAAGGTTTTGATTGGTTAATAATTTTGAGCTCATATGAAGTAGCCAATCAAATCGATTTAAATTCCAACGAGAAACCACGCCACAACACGAAATTTCACTCGAAAGCACAATACTACTACACCTTATTTCTATTGACTTGAGACTTTTTTCAACGTTCTTGGCTTGGCGCTCATTCGAAAGGGCGATGTGTCCATTCCTTTGGCCTTGTGGCCAATCGAATTGACTCGTTGTGCCGCAACACCCTTTGAAATGTACCATACTGCCAATGGAAAAGGCTCCACTACCCAACAATGTGCCAGGTATGATGCACGTCATCTAAAAACTTCCAACTGGCCAAATCGACGAGTGGAGGTTTTATTATTTAACGTACAATTAATGTAGTTAAACCCAAAAACCAAAACGTTAAATACTGAATTTATGCGTTTTATCACTGCTGTGGGAGGTTAAAGGTCCCAGCTGCCTCCGGATATTACATACGGATAAGAGTCACATACAAAAATCAAGATACATCTCAGCGGCCACCCCTATGGCCAAATATCCATGCGCCAATGTAAAATACCACAAGGTTAAATATCTATTTCTGGACCAATTCATCACCATATTTGAATATGAGACGTAGAATTTCTTCACAACATTGAAATCTGTCGATTCTACGTCTCAATTTGCTGAAATTTTGAGTACTGAATATGAAATAGAAGTCAGAAAATTTTGTGAAAAGTTGGTAGTTTATAGGTGACGAGCATCATAGCATTTCGAATCTGCCGTGCTTGGAAGTTGAGTTGGATCGAATATGAAATTTTATTATCAAATACGCGACGGCATGAAAAAAGCGGATAACATTATCAAAACTTGCAGCAAACAGCTACATGCCTACTTCCATGTCTTCCATTTGGTCCGCACGACCGTAGAAGTACTCCAGACGAAGGGATGGGATTGTATTTCTTGCGTGGCTATGAACATGGCTCGTACTGGTGTCTGTGGTTCAGCGTTCTCCATTGTTGCACGGAATGCGATTTTGAAAAGTGAAAAAAATGGGCGCGAAGATCGCCCAACTGCAACCTTGTAGAATCTTCGCTCCAACTCCACTTCAAGCACGGCAGATTCGAAATGGTACTTTGCACATTGTTGGGTAATGGAGCCTTTTCCATTGGTAGTATGGTACATTTCAAAGGGTGTTGCGGTACTAAGTGTCAATTCTATTGGCCACAAGGCCAAAGGAATGGACACATCGCCCTTTCGAATGAGCGCCAAGCCAAGAACGTTGAAAAAAGTCCCAAGTCAATAGAAAAAAGGTGTAGTAGTGCAACGATGAATGTATGTACTGTGCGATGGGCTGTGTCAAGGATGCAACCCTCCATGCAGAGGTTGACTTGCATTCTGTCATGCCAGCATCAAGATCCTCATACGATCATCATCACCGTATTCGGTCCCTAGAATCTGCTTTAGAGTTCGTCGGACCCCAAGGCCTGCGCAGCGACACCAGCTGGTTTCAAATGGAGCGCGAGGTATGCGTCGAGAGATGATTGGTCCCACGTGGCAACGCTACAGCAGTTCACGATGAGTATGGCCACACATCAGTGAACGCGTGGTACATGACGGATTCTTGCAGCTCGTCGAGGTCGTCGTAGAAGAGCATGGTCGGCAATCTCCCGCGCTTGTACTAATGTGACGAGATTGCTCAATGTGAGATGCAATGAAAGGAGACGATCGGTCGTAGGAAGTGCATTGTACCACGACGGAGAAGCCGGGGGTGATATCCTTGTTCGCATCGATGAAGTTCACGATAGCAGGATGCCGGCGGAGAGATCACGAGCACACTTGCATCTGCATTTGCGGAAAGGTCGCCCTGGCGATACAGCAACCAAGGCAGGCTGTTCGAGACTGATCGTCGACCTCGTGGCATTCCTTGCATGTAGTGGAGTGCCCAAATCCCATCGTCGAGCATTCTTCTACGGAGGAAGTGGCGGCGGTGGCAGTTGCTGCCGCGTACATCACCGCCATGGCTCGCATGATTTTGTTCTGATACTACTGTAGTATGCGATCGTGGATCTTTTACATTATTAGCCAATCATATCAAAGCTTAAAATATATACGTGGATTGGACAGAATAATCTACTTTTGGGCCAATCCAGTTGGACCTAGCCATGGGACACAACCAGCGTCGGCCAATCAGATTGTCGACGTAATCGTCCGGATAATTTGATCCGGATGGCATAATCGTCGGCAATCTGCATTGGTCGTCGTTAGGAAGGCAGCATGGGCGGCAAGAAACCAATGAACGTACAGCACAACCGAGGCACGTGGGGACACTTCCCGTCCCACCATCATGCATCGGGATCTCCGATGAACCACGATGGCTACGCGCTGTCGAACGGCGGTGGAAGCATGTTGAACCACTCCGCCGGTCTCGCCTACGATGTGGGGCTGCTCGACCTGGGGCCGCATCCGTCGACTTCTGTCGGTACAGTCCCTCTCCATACATCTTGTCGTTCATGTAAGCCTGACGATATCAATCGATGCATTAGGTGGTGCATTGCACGGTGCCATCGGGTCCACACGGTCGTCGTCTGCGTTTTACGCGGTGCGATGCTTATTCATCCAACGTCGCTTTGTCATCAAATCATCTCAATATGCGTGAACATGTAGGAACAGCATGACACTCAAGACATCGACATGAAGGTGATGGAGCTTGTGGATGTCATTGGCACACGCATGCGTCGCCAACTCAAACCCATGGTACACCACATCCCCATCTCGCTTCCTTCATTCCGTGGCCTTATGCTGCGATAGATGCAAGCGTCATCTGTGGGCAGGTGTTCGTGCAGCGAAGACGTCGCGGCGCTTCAGTCTACCGTCGCCATCATGCAGGAGCAGATCAAACTATTGATGCAGGAGCGCACGGCCAAGACCCCATCGTCCGTCGAGTCAGCATCATCGTCATCGGCGGTGGTGAACGCCTTGTCCGACCGCGTGTCCACGCTCGAAGGGCGGCAGTCGGCGTTTCAGTCGCAAATGGCGCAACTGTGCAAATCCCTCGGCACAGTTCCCAGTACATACATTTTCCTTCTAAAAGAACCCTCAAAAACTGATATTATATTCAAACTAGCGGGGAAGAATGCCACGGGCAAGCCAGGAGGGATTGCATTACCCAAGCCACTGTTGCAGGAACTCCGCGATGAGTTCGACCAGAAGCTGGCGGCGTCCACGGTCAAGCTCGAGACCGCCATGAACAAGCAGATGAGCAGTGCCATGTCCAGCATGGAGCAGCACATCCTCAACGACATTGGAGGTACGAGTGAGAACAACATGTTGATGGCCTCATGATGGTTGGGGATGGATGCGTAGGACGGTTCAAAAGCATGACGTCGATGCAGTACGACGACATTTTGAGCCTTGTGGCGAGCGAGACGGACATGGGGGTGCAGAACACCAAGCAGTGGTTTGAAGACCGATGTGCGCAGGAAGCAAAGCATCGCATGGGACTGGAAGCGCGCGTGATGGGGCAGTTCGACGCGCATGCCGAGTGGTTGCAGCAGCTCGAAGGATTGTGTGACACGTGGCATGCGAGTCAGACACATGTGGATGCATTGGCGGTACGAGAGAGAAACAAGATGCAAGGCTGCGTGGAACGATATGTGATGTTATATGTGTGTGTGGTGGGATAGAAACAAGTCGCCCAATTGCAAAAGAAGGCGCCCAGTGGAAGCAACGGCGCGAGCTCGGCGGTTGTGTCGACAGGTACTGTCTACCATATTACGATGACAAGATCATGATGATGAGGATGCTTCTGCAAATGTATAGCAAGTATGCAACAGATGCAGTCGCAGGTGAAGCAAATGATGCAAGACACGAAGGACGTCATGGAGAGCGTCGCGTTGATGGAATCGCGCGTGCTACAAGCAGGGAACACCGGTGACGAGTCCAAGAAGAAGGTCGCGGGGTTGCAGAAACTCATCGAGAAGATCATGCGCGACCAAGGATCCGTGGAAAGCATGCTGCAGCAATACGTCAGGTATATATAGTACACCTATGATGATGCATCCAGGACATGTGATGGAGAATGGACGTAGTACCATCACGCATCAAGTCGCGAGTGTTACGAGGCAGTACGTATCGGTCCGCATCCGCGACAACAACCGCCTCTTGGACGCCACGCTCCGCGCTCGCATTCCAGCGTACGTCGAGAACGAGCACGAAAGCTTCATGCTCGTGCGTCCCAACAGCAAGCAACCAGGAGGCACCACCAAGCCAGGTATTACTTCCATCGCACCCTTCATAAGACTCATGCTTCCATGCAGAACTGGACGTCGAGGAAGCGGTGGTCCTTCGCGATGTCGGCAGCTCCACCGACTCGCTGTTGCAGAGCGTGTTGAAACTCGAATTGGAGCAAACGTAGTGTCGATGGAAACCCTCTATAAATACATAACCCAGTTCCCTTTAGAAATAGATAATGTACACACACGTAAATATACCTTTCAAATATGATATCATATTGCCTCTTTACTCTGATACCTCTGCACTTTGCATTTTTCAATAAACTTTCGATAATGCATATGCACCGCAGATCATCGCATTATAACGATGAACGCGTTTGAGTTCCTGGGCTCGCTTCCTGGCGGCAGTGTGGATCGTCTGTACCAAGATGCGTGGGCGTGCCAAGCTGTGTTCCAGAGCATGAGTCCCTTGGCCCAGCAGATCGTCATGCGACTGCTCTTCACGAACCAAGGGTCGTACAGCCACGACGCCATCCTCCAATGGGTCCAAGACCCGGCGCAGGTGAAAATGACAGCCGCCATCGAAAAGGTGCGTCCCCATAGATAGTTGTCCCTGAATCATCCTCAAGAGAGCACATTAGTTGCGGCATCTGCGCGTGCTACGAATGGCGCACGGCACTGCAGAGTACGTGTTGAACCCAGTGTTCCAAGACCAGTTAAAGGTACGTCGTGGCATCCGCATGATATCATAACGACGACATGATGTCTTGTAGAAAGCGCTGAGTTCGCTCGGAGGTAGTCCGTGGGAAGCTGGGCGGCACAAACTGCCGTCGGAAAAGCCCATCGCCGCCGCAGAACTCGAGCAGTACGCGCGGAAGCGGTGGGACGCGGTGCTGCACTTCATGGTACATTTATCCACACGATCCTTCTCATGACGACGGGGTTCTAGGTCGGATCGACGGCGGTGGCCGCGCCGCCCCCGACGGTGATTGGGATCCTCGAACACACGGGACTCATGCAGCCTTCCAAGACGGACGCGCGCGCGCTCCACATCACGGACACGGGTGAGCTGCTCCTCATTCTCCCATGTCTTCTCATGTTCCATCAGGATACGAGTTTATGCTCAAGGACATCCACGCTCAAACGTGGATCTTTGTCTTGGAATACATGAAGGATATTGATCGAAAGGGCATCTTGTCGGCCGAAGAAATGCTGCAGTTTTTATTCCAAATGAGGTAATATATATAAAGATTCATATATATATGGATAAATATATATAAATAAAAATAAAAGTAAAGATTCATATATATGGATAAATTGATATATATATACATATATATGGCTAAATTGATATATATATATATACATATATATGGCTAAATCTATATATATATATATATGGCTAAATCAATATATATATATATATATATATTCGTGTGTAGTTATTGCCGCATGAACGAATACTACGCGGTGGCCGACCTGACGCGCCACCAGCAGCAATTGCTCGGGGATTTGGTGGAATTGGGTTTGCTGTATCGCAGAGGGGCGAAAGCCACGAGGTCGGTCGCATATATATTTCTTTTGCTTGTATTAAATATATATATATATCGTAGGTTTTACACGACCAGTTTGGCCGTGAATTTGATTTTCGGGGGCATGCTGGGCCAGACGAGGTCGAGCATCACCATGTCGCAGGGTCTAGACCACCTCCACCGCCCTTCCAAATCGCCGCACCTGCCGCCGCCGACTGCCGCCGCCGCGGACGCCCATTTGCTCATTGTTGTGGAAACCAACTTCAAGGTGTACGCGTACACGCAGTCTTCGCTGCACATTGCCATGCTCAGCGTATTTGTCGACATTGTGGTAAACATCATCACACACTAATTGACGGCATACACCAATTCTATTGTCTCGATGGACAGTATATTGATATTTTTTTGTATACATGTATGGGATACGGGTGGTGCTGGATCTGGTTGGTTTGTATATATATATATACCTTGTTTGGTTGAGCTCTATTGAATTTGGTAGTCTTGTTTGTGTTATCGATACTTTACAGTATCTATCTATATACAGTAACTATTGTCAATTTACCCAAAATTTGGACGTTTGTGTGGATTCTTTGCCAAATCTATCGATCGATTCTTTAAACTGAATTTTGTATGTCAAAACGTGTCCTGTGGGGATTGGTATCACACTAATTGAAGTCACACACTAAATCGACGTTCATGATGGTTTTTTTCTGCAATCTGATTGGCTCAATTCTTCTGCTGACTACACAACAATAATAGCATACGGACAACGAGCAAGCACTTCGTTCGAAGTTATATATACTGTATATATAATTTGTTCTTTGGTACTTCAAGCATACCGATATATATATATATATACATATATAGTATAGTTATGCAAACGTCATATTGTAGGCTCGTCTGCCCAACTTGGCGGTGGGGTTTTTAACTCGTGAAAGCATCCGGTCGGCGCTTTCGAATGGGATTTCCGCCGAACAGATCTACGATTTCCTCATGCAGCATGCCCATCCCAAAATGCTTGGGAATTCTCCCGTGATCCCAGAGAATATTGCCGATCAATTGTACCTGTGGCAGCGCGAACGCAACCGCATCAAGTTTGACGCAGGCGAGCTCGTCGATGGCTTTGTCACCACCGAGGTATGATATATATATATATATATATATATATATATTACAATATTTCTAATTTGGTGGATATGTGTAGGATTTCGACGTGGTGTTAAAGTTTGCCCAAGACGTGGGCGTGATGCTGTGGTATGACTCGATCCATTTGCGCCTTGTCGTGACCAAAGCCGGTGGCGAACGCGTCCGCGATTTCATTAAAAACCATTAATATATCATTGGTATAGACTATTAATAGAATTTCTATGTTCTTAGAACAAATCATAATATAGACTATTAATATTATAGTATCTATTTTCTTAGCATAAATCAATGCTATTAATAGTATATCTATCTTCTTAGAACAAATCAATGCTATAAACTACAGTAGTGTACTTGCGATACAGCAGATGAAGCGGCCGTTCATTCGAGTAGTCAGCGCATTCGGGATGATACCAGTACTAGTTAACGATTTATTAGAAAAATATACTACTTCAGTACTAATCAATCGATCGGTGGGAGACTGCACAATGGGATTATCAGCTTGGTTGCATTGGAGTAAAAGCCAATAATGTGCACACATAACCCGCGCAGAGCTACACAAACAAAACGTTGGTTAACGTTGAAAGAAATCCATCAGAAATCCCTTGGTAGTATAAATCTGGCCAAGTCGCCGACTTTGCATGCTGTAAGGATACACCGACAGGTACCAATCTCGCATTGAACTAATACTTTCCATGAAGTACTTACTACCAGTATACTTATATGGAGCTAGGAAGAAAGGATATCAATCCTGGATATTTTATCAGTCCTATCAAAACGTGAAATGGCATATTTTGCCAGAGAGAGGCAAGTATATATAACTGCGGCCAAGGAGATGCAACCGTTCTTAAACTTGACCGAGCGTATATGACGGAGCCAGATAAGAGTGACGTTGATGGAGCAGGTGGGCAGTCGTTGCAATGCAAGGCTGGATAACGTCACTCGATGAGGATATAGGTGTGGGGGACATGCAGGGATTCTTGGCTCACAAATACCTGGTGCAATTGTGTCGTGGGCGATAAGTGTGCATGCTGGTTGTGCCATCGGAGTAATGCACGGGAACGGTGCGTTGCATCGACGAAGAGCCCATCTTACTTACCCAGTCCCCTAATGAGGTGAAATATACACTGTATACAGTAGTAAAGTCCTAACGATAGTAAATGGACCAATTTCATTGTGTGATTTAACGTGTATGTTAATGTTTAAGCTTGCATCCACGACGGCATGTTGGGGTTCTTAGGCGAAGTGGGGGACGATGGTTTGGCCTGCGTTTTAGCGTTTGTTTCGAATGGAGACGACGGCGGAGGTGGTGGTGGCGCCGCTGTTTTGTCGGCAATGACAACAGATTTGAGGTTGATTTCCTACATACACATCAGCCATACTACCAAGTTTGAATGGACCGTTGCGTACTCGTTGGGTAAGCGGGACCAGTGCCGTCTTGGAGTAGCTGCTTTCGGTGCGATTTGTGATATTGTCATGTTGCTGCGGTGGAGGTGCCGTATTGTTCCCAAATACAACGACGGATAGCAGCTGAAACACGGCAATCACGAGGAGCCCGACGCCTTCGGCGAGGAGCAGGCTGTACGTGATGCATCCCGTGCACGAAGACCGCGACCGGCCCATGAGGATTGTCATGATGCCTTTAGGGAAGAACATGACGTACATTGAAGAGAAAGAGGATATTGGATGGGTGTACCAGAGACGGCGTACAGGATCGATCGGCCGAGGCGATAGCGCAAGAACCCGAAGAAGTAGAAGAACAATTCCCACTTGAACTCGCCTAGGAACAGCAGCGCGCCAAAGGTGACGCCGAGAAACAAGAGACATCCGTCGCTTGTCGTCGACTCCACTTGCTCCAAGTTGGTCACGTTCGACTGGCTGAGCTGTTGGAAGCCAAGCACGGCCAACAGGACCAGACACAGCGACGTGGCGAGTGACAGGTAATGGACGAGCTGCTTGAAAAAGGCCAAGGGCCGGAGCTCGGCCTTCGCGGATGGTTCCATGGGAGCGTAGGATCGGAGAAACGCAGAAGGAAGCGCCGTGGTTGAGGGGTGGGTGGTGGTGGCGACACTGGCAGCGCACCTCGACGGTGATGGTATTGTGCGTGTAAAAATAACCGATCCATACTTTGAAACCGCCGATAATAAAGTTATCCGGACAGATCCAAATCGCCCAATCAGAGGCGTTACCAGAATCATCCGGATATAGAGAATACACAGCAAAATTACTTTTCCGCCGTAGCCGACAACGATGACCACGAGCATTCGAGTGGTAGATGGACGGACGAAGGCCCACCAAGCGCATGTGATAGTGCATGACCCATACCTCTTGGATCACCTGAGGAAGAGTCAAGATATGGCGTATCTTCGTCAACTTGTGCCGCAGCTGGAGGTAAGGAACCGATGGAATGCGCAGCAATGTAAGTCTAATCATGGAGTGGCGATGCAGGGCCACTCGACAGCAACGATCGCACCAGTGCCCTTCCGATTTCCCCTCTATATGTCTTGGGTGTACCGAGCAACGCGGTTCACGAATGCTGTCGTGTCGCTTGTCACTGCCAACGCGTACATCTCGACGTTAGGCGGTACTTTCTCACTTTCTTCCATAGCATTCCGTCATCGCATGTTGTAGGGGGATTCTTTCTCTGTCGACATTTAAACCAAGCCAAACTCATGGCACAACTGCAAATTTGCGTCTCCCAGGGCCTCCACGACCCCATCTTGGCCAGGTACATCCACAACATGCAGAAGCATCATCTCCACTGCCATCTTAGCAAATGCCGCATCAATCTGGCCTATGGGGCCATGGCGCGAGGCAAGTTCAAGCGAGCGCAGAGAATCATCAACGACGAAGGGGTAAATGCGAAGGCGCTTCGAAGCGACGAAATCCACAACGTGTGCCATGCCGCCCAAGTGTACCTGGACAAGACATGGGACCTCCATCGATCCCGGTTGGTGCACGAACCCACGGACACGACACAGGTCGTGGACGAGTACTACCGACAACGTGTGGTCGCGACGAGATAATGTTGTATAACGTTATGTCATGCAATATTGCTTCGTTGCCTTCGTAAATGGCGCGTCCATGCAAGCAGCACTTGGACTTCCTGCAAGATGGCCGCTTGAGACGCTCCCCGCTGTTTCATGGAGCGAAGGTGGTTGCACTTAGCATCGATCCACAACTCCAATACGTGAGGGGGCTGGGTGATGGCTCCATCGTTGAATACAAACATCATCTACTGATCCAGGAAGGGATATAAGGAGTAAGTAGGTGGAGTTGTCATCCTTGAAGGCCTCAACTTACTGCGTAGTCGGGGACGATTGGTAGCGAGCGCGTCGCGCCAGTGTCGTTGGGATGATGGTTCGTCGATGCTGCTTGCGGAGTCGGAGACATGCTGCCAGCTTCCGATGGAAGCGCCGCTGTTCATGCTGCGGTTGCCAGGTGATGGTTGCCGTGGAGGGCGTGGAGGGTTACTCGGGGTCCGTCGCCTCTCTTCCACCATGACAACAAGTCAAACATCCGATCTTACTGAAAGTATACTGTGTACATGAATACACTTTGAGAATCAATTCCCCTTGCATATTGTATACTTCAACGTGGATAATCCTGTATACATACATACCCTTTCACGAGTAATACTTATCCAAGTTCACGAACGGCATTCCATTGGTCTAATGTCGACCCTTCAACTTTTATATTGTACATGCTACTTGGTTTCTTTACACCAATGCAATTCATTACATTCCGGCACCCATGCACTTTGTGCGCTGCATTGTCAGCTGCTCTGTCGTGTAAGCCTCATGCTGATCCACGTGGAATTTGCCTCTGGTAGCAATGAGGTGTAGTTTTCTCGGATATATAACGTGGACCAATGTGTCTGAACCCTCATATTGTCAAAATAGCTTGCTGTTTGTATGCTTAACGAATGGACCAATCCGAGGCCAGATAAGAGGAGGAGTGAGTCATTTCCTGGACATTTAGCTGACTCACCGGACGGTGGACATGTCAACTCGTTACAAAAACACGCGCGAACCGATCTGTAGGACCACCAGACAGACGACAGCCTGGTTATCGCTTCGATGTCCGCCGCTGCCGATGCCGCGCGGACATCCGAGGGAAAGAAATGTGGGATACCTAGCACCGGGGAGCACGATCTTATTGGAGATCGCAGAGAAGAGACACCCCCCGACGACCACGACAAGCAGACGTGCTTTCCTCAATCCACACCCGTGACGACAATGTTGTCTGTACCCTTGCGCCTCCCATCATTGACCACCCTCCATCATCACTATCATCGGTCAACGGCAGCTTCATCATCTCCCTTCATCGCCAAGACAAAGTCGAGGAAGCGCAAAATGAGCATGCTCGACGTCATCTCGTCCCACCACCACACAAACCCGCTGTCCCTTCTTCGACAACACGAACATCCCCATCACCACCACCATCAGCAGCAGCGACAAGCGACCCCATCGTCGTTATCAATTGTAGCCGCGTCCGATCTCCACCCATTGACGATCACATCGACCACCTCCGTTCCTCCGTAAGTGGACATTCCTTCGCCATGCTCACTTGTGTGCTGACCAGGACAAAGTCAACCCAACACGTTCACACGAGGGGCCGAACCAAGCGCGGCGGACGCGCGCATGTTCCTGCCGCGCCAGCTCCGCGGACCGCGTCCAGCATCGCGCGGCTGACGTCGGGAAAGGACGTGTGTGTGGTGGCGCACCATGGGACTGTGGACTGGGTAGCCACGTACTACGTGTATGGATTTGACAAAAATAGTCTTTTTCACCTCTTGGTTCCCCTTCGTCACCCCAACGAGCCTTGGACCGACGCGGAAACGGCGTACTTAACCATCCTGGCGCGGCTGTTGCACGTATATATATATATATATATATATATATATATTATCAATTGAAATATTTTAGAAATATAAATATTATTTATAGCAAGGAACGATGCGTGTGCCCCGGGGCAAGTCGTTGGAAGCGTATTTAGCCGAGAAATTGCACGCCCCCGAGCCCCGTATTCGTGTGCAGTTGCAGACCGTCAAATGTGAAATCGATGCCGAAACTGGTCGCCAATTGTTAACAGATGGACACCGGCCCAAGGGGGTTATGACCCCCGACGAAGCCGCGCAACTGAAACAGGTTGGTCTTAACAAAAGGAGTCCTTGATTCACATTTGTAGTAGTCCAAGGCATCGTTCTTGCAAACACTGGAACCGGCCGTCGTCGCCGCCTTGCACGCCAACGCGATCGACCAGTCGTGTGTGGTGTCGATCAAGTATTAACAAAACGTGACCATTTTTGTACAGCATGCTTCGTATTCTAACACTATTTAGCGACAGGTTGCCCTTGCCACTACAGTACCATTCATATACAATGAGTACGTATGTACATAAGATGAACCATCAACGTACGAGCCAATTGCTGAGTAAATCTGGCGCCGCGCGCACAAAGTCGTTCCAGGACACGCCGCGATCTGGCTGCAGCACGACCTATTAAAACACATGAATTAACATTTGGCGACCAATTCCAAGTCGCCCAATTAATGTATACAGGACCTGCGATTGGAGAGCATTGAGCTGGTCGTCGGAGAGCCCGAGTTGGAGCTGGTGGCGCAGGCAGATGCCAAACTCGTCCCAGCTCAAATACCCTGCATCGCCACGGGATTAACATTTGACTGCCTGAAAATGGTCGACCACCTACCGCTGCCGTCCATGTCCGCAGCTTGGAACACGGCGATCATGTCGGCTTGCATGTCGGCGGGTAAATCCCACGTCGGTTTGTCCCACTGCGACAGCTGCGTGCGCTTGTTGTAGTAGTAGACGGAGCCCGTTTCCGTCGAGAGTTCACACCAGTCGGCCGCCGACGCTTCACTCTGTCGCAGCTGCAGCTTGAGTAGCTCGGGGAGCATGGTCAAAAATTGCTGCCAGCTCACGTCTGTGCCAGAGGCCAGCCCGCTGTGGGCTTTGATGGCTTCGATGGCGACCGGGGATAGCCCGAGGCTCATCTTATCTTGGATCATGCTCCACAGCTCGTCGTAGCTGAGGTACCCACTCTGGTCCACGTCCACTTCGAGAAAGATGCGCTCCGCGTACCGCGCAAACAGCGGAGGCAGACCTGTCGACGGCGATGCTTGATGTTGGCTGGATTGAGCTTGGGACGACGCGGCAGCAGATTCGTTGGCCAGCAGCGCTCGCAGCCGGATCTACTCAGGTGGTTAGCATCGCGCGGAGACATGAGGAAATGTGGGAACGCACCACTTCCTGCTTGGCCGACTCGCCTCGCGGGGTGTTGACATCGCTGGCATCCAATGGACGCTGGGATTCTGCTTGAAGCACTCCGCTCGCAGCTCCCATAATTGTCGAGTCCAGAAATACACCCCTACGAAATAGACACACACAGGTGTGTCGTGAAACCGTCCAAGTCGTTACGCTGGCGGTTACCTTTTTACCCATAAACTACCAAGTTATCACAAAAATAAGTCTTGCTGCTGCTTCGTTTTCATTTTTCAAAATTTTAGCAAATAGTGACGTAGGATCGCGAGAGGTATTATTAACGTGGTGAAGAAATTCTACGTCTCAGATTTCACTGTAAATTTGGTGAAGAATTAATGGACAAGAATAGACACTTATAACCAAGCGGTATTATTTTGCATGGGCGAATTGAATTTAACCACAGGGGTGACCACTGATATCCACATTGATCTTTGAATGTGACTACCCCGTTTTGTAGTTAAGTTGGACGAATGCCCGTTTAAATTGGCACACGTATGTCGTGTGCCTGATATAAGTGGTCGTGTGCCCAAGGAATTGTCCATCTGCCTGAAGCAATTGTGTCGTGTGCCCGATGAAATTGGCAATAAAAAGTCAATTCAATATATAGAAATCGTTGTTAAACGACACATGCAGCATCGTTGCTGTGCCGTCACATATCAACGCCCATGTTGCCCATCATGGCTTCGGCGCGCCCATCGATTATGCGTTCCTAGAGGTAGGTAAATCGAGTGTGTGCGATACATGTACTGTACATTGTGAAACGGCAGAGTCGAAATAAAAAGCGATGATTGGTTCAAATTGAGTTTCACCTTCTATTTACATGATTGGCTGAAATACAAACAACTAAGTTAGTACAATACAAATACACGATCGGATATATTCTCTTGTTCATGTGGATGGATGATGCATCTTGGCTGCCGCGGACGTGACGGCCGTTCATGCACATGGCTCCAAGGACACTGATGTCCCTGCCTGGAGCTTCCACGTTAACATGATATGCTCCATAGAGCGGTACAGGAGCGTTACTATTAAATAGTAGTACTACAGTACTCTGATGAGACAATCAGGATAAGATCTTTCCCACCTACTATTAATAGTATACAGTACTGTATTCAATTGACAGTGAAGCGGAATTCACAGAACCAGAAATATAAATATATATATATCGTCTCGTCCTTGCAGTGCACATACAAATACCAAGTATCCACTTGAAAAACTAGTTCCGTGGCGACGAAATTATATTATGTCGCTCCAATCTTCGACCACAGTTGCAATATTTGTAATAGTTTTCACCATGTGTTGTGCCTCACCATACAAACTTCAAGTGTGTAAGAGCGTGGCAAATACCTAAAGTCACCTCATGTACACTTTTCGACGTGCAGGTGATGGGCGACTCTGCGTGGCGGAACGTGTGGCATGGCATCGCGGTCGCGCCTGCATCCCGCGCCATCTTCCCTGGCTCGTCTTCCCAGACGTCGTCGGCCCAGCAGCCCTTCTTCAACATGCGCAGCGGCGTCCGGCCCCGCGCGCTGTACAAGGATCTCGCGTACTTCCTCATCAACCTGTCGTGGCCGCGGCTCGCCCTCGCGCTGGCGATCTCGTACTTTGGCGTGATCTTCCTCTTCGCGCTCGCGTTCTACTTCGTGTGCCAGGAATGCAACGACCTCTTTGATGGGTACAACCTCAGCTACCAGGCGTTCTCGACCATCGGGTTTGGCATCGTGTACTCGCGCGACCGCTGCGGCAACTACGTGACCATCCTCGAGTCGTACATGTCCATGGTGCTGCTCCCGACCTTTGCCGGCATCATCTTCTCCAAGTTCTCTCTCCCCAAAGTCCAGGTCGCGTTCAGCAACGTGTGCTGTATCCAGCCCAACTACAGCGGCAACCACGCCGCGCTCGTCGTGCGCGTCGCCAACGCCAGTTCATCCTCCCATCTCAACCTCGACGTGATCATGGACGCATCCTTCTCCATGGAACTCTTCTCCGTACACGGGGTATCCATATATCCTTCGTTCCATCCATCCACCCATCCTCCTTCCTATAGACCTTGCTTCGCCGCCACAAACTTCCATTGAAGCAAGCCGACTTTATCTTTTTCCGCCTCGCCCTCGAACTCGTGCATGTAATCGACGCGGCCAGTCCGCTATATGCGACACCGTTCTCGCCCGACTGCATGCTGCTCGTGACCTTTACAGGTGTCGACTCGAATCGACACGCGACCATCGTTAACCAAGTGAGCTACACCCACGACTGTATCGCACACGGCGCCAAGTTTGTGGCCATGCTCTCGCATGAAGTGAACCACGTTGAAATGGACTTTGACCGACTCAGTGACGTGGCACTCTCTGAGACGTCTGTGCTGTGGAATGCCATGGGCCACCGCCGACTGCTTAGCCCAGACCAAGGCATCCATCACGAAGGAATGACTTGGGAATATGCTGCTTCTACCTCCACGGAATCGCCTTCCCAGCCGTTCGTAGAACCCACCATGGCCGGCTTGCTACTTAAACACTCGTCGGCACGGTATGATTCAAAGCTGGCAATTATATTGTTTTGACACATATATATATATATAATATATATATATAGATATAATATTGTTATATAGATATATTGTTATATATATTATATTATATTGTTATATATATATATATAAATGGGGTTGGAATAGTCTTTTTTGTTTATTATATACATGTATATGTATTACGAGTAGTTTGGTGTGTTTTTGTTCAATATACTATATATATATATATTTATACAGTATAGTACCGTATCCCATTACTGTCTAAATATATCAGGCAATCGAACGTCCTGAGCGACGATGACGGCAGCAGCTACGTCCACATGACCGACGCCGCCGCCGCCTTTGCCAGTTTGCATCTCGTCCATCCTCTCAACGTACCCTTCCGGTTTCAATACCTGTACTACCACATCCTCCACGCCACATGGAAATCGATTTTCGCGGGTATTTTCGTGCTCACGGGCGCCGTAACCATAACGTTCGCGTGTCTCCATTGGCTGCACTTTCCTCGGGGTCTGTTTATCACGGATGATATGCTTCCGCCACGGAATTCCGCGTTTGAGCTGTGCTTTTACCTGAGTGTGCACACGTTTTCGACCATCGGGTACGGGACCATCGCCCCAGCCCCAGGGGATAACTACCACAACGCCCTTGTGGCTGTGGAAGCCATGCTTGGGCTCACCGTTGCCACGATTCTTACGGGTATATATATATATATATATATATATATATTGAAGTATGTAGTCGTCCATGATAGATTATTATTACATATGGAGTGAAACGACCAATGTATTTCACATGAATTCAAGTCAAAGGTGATCACAAATCCATTTGAATAATGGTGAAAAGGGAGTTTGATTATTGGTCACTTGATTCCTGCGCTGGGATTTGATTGGTCGATTGATTATGGTGTCGGCCCAGTGGGTGTGATAAGATTAATAGACTCCTTTGTATTCTTGTGTTTTTTGTTGGCATTGAATCTGATTCGATCTTGCATCCAATATATATATATATATATATATATATATATCTTGTTTGTAGGTCCAATTGTGTCGAGTTGGTGTGTATATAGATAGATATATATACCTCTTAGTATTCTTGTTTTCTATTGGATTCGATAGCGCATCCAATATATATATATATATATATATCTTGTTTTTAGATCTAATTGTATTATATTTGCAGGTATCTTCTGGTCCAAATTTGCGCTTCCGCAGGCGCATGTTCGATTCTCTCCAAAGATGGCCGTATCCACGTACCACGCCCATCGATGCCTAGTATTCCGTGCAGTGAACACCCGCAATGTGGGCGACATCCAGCTGTGCCAATTCAAGTATGTATTATATTGTAATTTTACCCAAAATATATTTAGACTTTGGGCTGATATCGCCAAATCTATCGATCGATACTTCGTTGGACGGACATTTTTTGCATCGTCCAGTGTCCCGTCTTACATTGGTTCGAAGAGTGGATTTTTTGATTGGCTACTTGATTCGTGGTCTGGGTTTTGATTGGTCGATATCGATATATATATCGTCGATTTGTTTTTCGGCTCATTCGAGTAACTCTCCAATGGTCGACTCGACTTAGAATCACGACCAATGATCCACTTCTATTTTTCGTGTTTATTGACTAATTATATTGCTAGATTGGGCGCGTTTTTCACCGACCGCCGCGGCGCGAGGCGGATGCACGACCTGCCGCTGGTCCAGCCCACATGGCCCAGTATCAACATGCCCGTGACCTTGATCCATGTGCTGGATGCATCGTCTCCGCTATATAAACACGACGACGACGCTCTGAGTGCCACGTCATTGCTGGGTCTGTTCTCAGGCTTCGACTCGACATTTTGCGAAACCGTCTACTCGAGGCATATTTACACCACGTACGAGTTTGGCAAACCGATGGTGGACGACGCGGTGATGTTGACCCCCGACGGCGTCAGTTGGGGCGATCGCGATATGATGTAACCAAACAAACACACATTCCGAGAACGTAGTGAATGACCCCCGACGGCGTCAGTTGGGGCGATCGCGATATGATGTAACCAAACAAACACACATTCCGAGAACGTAGTGAATGAATGTATGTATGTATTTGCGATACACCGCGCATACTAACAGTATATATTATGAATGTTAACGTTAGTAGTCAATTGTGTGTATTCCCAATTTTGCGCGATTTGTTCGTGAAACAGATCCCAAAGCTCGAAATATACTCTAGGATTATTTCATTGGCTTTCCCGATAGTGAAAATATAATGTAGCCAATCAGCGACAAGTATTTTCAGAGTGACCAATCGGTCGGAAATTCGTACCAACTTCATAATATGAGTTCTTTTTCGATTCCCTATGGACCACTTCGCTGGAACTACTTCTTCGGATTGGCTGATTAATCTACGTGTCCTTTATGGAAGTGCCAATCAGGTGCATTCAAAACTTGATTTGCCAATGGGGGACTCCGCATTCTACAGTGAACAACCGGGGAGAAACTCGACCCCCCAAGAAACCCAAACACCTCTATATATCTATGTATTTTATTCATATTTCGTCTCGAAGTGTAAGTAATAATGTCTCCATGCTTAATCCGGATAAGTACGTATACATCCGGATAAAAGGCACTTTGACCGCCAAAACTCCCACCAAAACGTGTCCAAGTCAGGTTTTGGCCCCACTTTCAAATTTGCCGCGATGGAGGAAGCCCAGCGCGTCGCACAGTACGACATGTCTAACGCCGTGCAGTTCAAGTTCAGCACCGTCATGGCTGCCACGTGTGACGAAGCTGCTTGCCCTGTGTGGGGTATGAAGGTCGGGCTTCTTAAGTCGAAGATGCTATCCGTCATGCGCGAAGGACATGACCTTGACCGGGACAAGGTGGCGATGCCGTCGTGCTGGCTGCGGTTCCATTGAGCGCAGCATGAAGTTATTATGTAATGTGTATTCCTACGATTAATATATCCATGATTGTCGATTTATATGATACTAGTATCATATAAATAGTAGGTTAGTGTCGTAGAGGGTGCAGTGTTGGGGCGATGAACAATCGTGTAATGATCAGGTTTCGAGATGTTTCTACTTGACTCATTTGACACGCCAACTTTGGCGCCCAATATCTCGACAGCCAAAATGCTCTAGAAAGCTTGCAAACTACCCAATCAAAGCAGAGATCTTGCGCTTTTTGATGCACCAATCGCATCGCAAAACGGGCGATATTTAGCAAAATTCTGCCAATAGAAAAAACAACTATTTTGGACCAGAGTAGTATATATTTGTGTAATCCAAGGTTGTCGATCTATATAATACATATTTCTGTAATTAATACAGTCGAAGAGGCCAAAACACTACCTCTCGGGTGTCAAGTGCTACAAATACACTCTATTTCGTGCCTGAAGTGTTTTTACGAGTTCGATGTGATTTGCCTGCCATTGTCATGTACATCCAAGGTTGTCGAATTATATGATATTTATTTCTGTTATTAATATATCCAAGGTTGGCAGAGTAGGCTCGGTCGTTGAAATCGACGAGACATCACTAAAAAAAATCGAAATACAGCCGCGGAGCCCAGCACCCCGACGTTTGGTTGTTCGGCGGCGTGGACAGAACAACGGGCAAGTGGTTCGGACGCCTTACGTTTCACGACCGTACGAAGCCAACTTTGACTGCCATGATTAGACAGCATATCCGACCAGGTACTCTGATCATGTCAGACAAATTTGGTTCGTACGTGTCGTCGGACGAAAGACACACATTGTCTAACAATCCATTGCTGGCCGACAAGAATTATGGCCATCATTGGGTGAACCATTCGGAAAACTTCGTGGATCCAGCGACTGGTGCACACACCCAGACGCTCGTGGGTGTGTGGGAAGTTTGCGTCAAGCGCTTTCTGAAAACAATGCGTGGAATTCGAAAGAAGTACCTACCCGCCAATCTGGACGAATTTATATGGCGCACTTGGTATTTCTCACCGCAAGCGGGCGAAAAGATGTATTTCACGGGCTTAGTTCACGTTATTGGAAAAAAGAATAACTAATAATACTAAGTACTTTTGGGCTTTGACGTTTTCGTTACGACACTATTACTTGAATTTGTTACATTTCGAACCGGTGTTTATTATAATTGGGGCCGGGGGCTTATCTTTCCTAGTGCCCACCTCGGCACCTCACAACCGATTTCACCACTGAACCGCCATGACAAGACAACGCACTCAGCTGTCCAACACTATCAGGCAGAAGTGCGAGCATCTTCGACTCTTCGACGAACATTGCATCAGTTGTCGCAAGTTTGCGCTGAACGCTGTGCCTCGAAGTACTCTCTCGACTTGACGGATCAGGTCACAAAGCTTGTTGCAACTAGCAATGCGAAACGAGCCGTCCTCGGTGGACAAGGCACGAAGTGCATCATCCCATTCCAACGTGATCTGCCCATGTTCATGGAGGACGTCCGCAGAGATGAGCATATTCTGACATCCATGTACACCATCAACTTCATGAAGACCCACTACAACGATTGGCTGCTGCAGTATCAAGCCAACAAGCCGAACCATACAAGACCTTGCTGCGTCTGTGCCAAAAGGTTCGCGCACAGACACCGCTTCTATCAACATGTGGCCTGTCATTTCATGCTTCCTACATCCGACATTGTTCAAATCCGTGACAACTTTGCCAGCAAGATCGGGAGCAAGTACGACGGGCACAATCTGCGCGACATCATCAACGTCACGAGACGGTCGTTTACTACGACATGCCCCCGGGGAAGATTTGGGCCGAATTGAAAAAGTCGTCAAAGGTTGACAAGGCCCAAAAGCACTCGGACCGGTTCACTGTTGTCTTGTCTTGCCGCATTAATGGTAATTTACACACGTATACACTCTCGTATGTTATAATGCTTTGTTCCCTTTAGGTGGGAAGTTACTAATGTTGTTAATCTTCCATGACACCCCGGGTGGACCCATCGACCAACGCGAGCTTCGTACGTACCCGTCAGGGTAGCACTATACAAAGGTTAGATGGACAGTCGTGTGTGGCGTTTGTACCTCGACGTGCTGCCGTCTCATGTTCTCGGGCCAAATGTCATCCTTGCAGACAACTTTACGCCCACGTGCCACAAGTGTCGTCGGATTCCATCGTCCGTGACTTGTACAGTGCACTGGAGCCGCTGTCTGCGGATTCCATCGTCCGTGACTTGTACAGTGCACTGGAGCCGCTGTCTACGCCAAGTGGCTGACACGCACAAGTGTGTGTCAGCCACTTGGCGTAGGCATTATGGGACCTTTCAAGAAAATCATGCGCAAGCACTGGCTGGAAAGAGCTACCTGTGTGTAGTGCTGCAGACAAACGCATGGCAATGGTCAAGCGCGCCATCAAGGCGTGTGACATGATCACGTCAGATGCAGTGACGAGGTCATTTGTAAAATCCATCTCTCGACCTCGAATAGTACTTGTGTAATATCACAATAATGCATGCATTTGATATGTGGTATGGTCCCTGGTCCTCTTGTGCTCGGTGGGAAGGTTGCCGGTGTATCGAATGGTGCTCCTGAATCGAATAGTGCTATTTTAAACCTCTGAAACGCAAATTTTGCCCATTTTGCGACATTTCATGTTGTAACGTTACAAAAACATTTGTCCAATCAAAATCTGACTGTCATGTCAGTTTATATAATTTTGCTGTTCGAGACGAGGGAACCAATTTGTGTTCCATACCCGGTCGAGTTTCTCCCCAGTTCACTCTAGGTAGTTTGCTACAAGTAGCTCGCATTTGTTCCGCATAATCCAATACAACAATTTTTCTATGGTTTGCAGTTTCGGTTGTTGATTAATTGAGTTTGGATTATCATTTTTAAGACATTCCTCCGCGAGGGCCGATACTAGAACCACATGTTATGGAACCGCTTCGCCAATTGTAACGCGCCTGCTCGACCAGGGGCGGTGTGTAATCTTCGGTTTTTACTTCGCTCAACGCATCATACCTCGTGCTTCGACCGATCTTCTTCGAAGTTCGGTCCTCGTCTTCGTACGCGGCCCTTGTTATCCGGATTCCCCAGGGGAGGGACGGATAAATCCTTGCGGAAATAATCCGGGGAAGCCGGGGATCGAACCCACGACCTTTGAGTTAAGAAACCGATGCTCTACCACCTGAGCTATTCCCCCCCCTGTTTCGGTTGTTGACTGAAGCTCATTCTATGCAGAAGTATCGCTCGTCCAAGGGCGCGAAACAACTTGTCATCATGAATAAAAATGAGGCCTTATCCGGATGATACATGCTACAAAATGGTGTTTGCGGAGGTTTTGGCAGGATTCGATTCGACGGCGAGATTCGATCCAGGATTTGTATATTTGAGGTTGTTTCTGATGGACATTCTTTAATTGATTGTGTAGCACCACATGAGAATATAAATCGCCAACACTTTTTTACGTAGCATTGCACATGATTGGACTGCATAACAGATTTGTATCGAAATTATTCTTTAGAGCTCTATGGTGAACCATTCACGACACTCCTTAAAAGCTTGTATGGGTTTAACTTAATAACTTTATCAAAATAATTGGATCAAAAATAAAACTGCATGCAATTCAAAATATACAGTAAAATTTCACATGAATTTAATTAGTCATTGTAAAAAGTGAAATCACGTTTTAATTCACTGATGTGAATCACAACTGTAGCGCCATAGTACGAGTGATACTGTGCCACTTCTTCAAGGCCAAATATCGAGATGCTATTGGCTAAAATCAGACAGCCGCACAATTTGGTGATGTGTCAACAATTGATACATTACCTTCGATGACTTGCCAAAACCCATTGGAGTAAGCCAAAAACAATAAACGAAAGGTATTCGGAGCACATTTCACAACTATTTCCGCTCCTTCTGATAAACAGATATTTCACTAGAGCAGATAGATTGGTCAATGCGTGAAAAGTATATGTCTACATTATTGGCTGAAATATACCACATATTATGCATTAGCCAATCAGGAATGAAGCGAGATTTATTGGTGATCATCAAGCACGATGCAGACGACGACAAGAACAGAAGTTCCATGCTGCAATACTACAAGCTAGTTCAAATCTCCAGACTTTACACACCCTAAAGTCCCTAAAGCCGTATCGAAGTTCTCCTAACCTTCAGTATAACAAGCATATCGTACTATTTCCGAGTTTCCTGTTAACCATTATACTAAATCACAGAAGTTCAACATTAAAAGGTTGTGACTCTTCGATAACGCCTACTACGGTCATGAAATCAAATTCACCTTCATGCTAGCTCGGCCTTTTTCAAAATTAACAGCCTCAAGCTCGTAAACAAATGTCGTCAAAGTCCAAGACCAAGCCAACCCAACCTGTCGTCCGAGATGTCCAGCCCCCTCGCTGGAACGCCGGCCACAGTGGCACCGTCATGCTACCAACCGCTCCCAAATGTTTCTCAGCGACGAACTTGAACACGGGTGCGATAGCAGAGAAAAATAACTTAAGTAAATGCTAATTACGCAGAAATCATCGACCTTCGTTTTATACCTGAACTGGCCAGGCCCAATGAATTTCGGGCTATTGAGCCTGAGGCCAAGGACCTGCTAAGAAAGGTTAATTTCAACGGGTAACGCTTTTTGATAGGTTCAAAATGTCTGTAGTGCGAGGGCAAAACCAACTCGGCCAAGTGTTGGCTTACTGTATAGATAGTACTTTCGAAGGTAGTTCTCGTTATGATCCGCGAAGTCACAAGTCAGCACCAGAAATGTGGCGCGCGGTTGCGTCGAACTATGACATAGGAGTGGGGAATCTATATCTACTTACGATGTATAATATATGGTTGTTTATGTTTGGACGAATGTAAGCTTAATTTGTTGGCAGTTACAAGGGGGAAGACAGGATTATTATAGCAAACGAAGGCCGAGCAAAACGTTGCAATAATGAAGTCTACAATATGGTTCATGTAAGTTTGACTTCATCTTCCCCTTCGAAACCTCTGCGGTGTTTCTTGATATCACACCTTCTGTGCGCAGACCTTCAACCTCAACGCGGGCGACAATATCTCCTTCCTGTGCTACAGCATCGAGCCTTGGCTTTTCGCCCCCCCCCACTGTGTTGCCTACGACGCCCTCTCCCATACCAGTAAGATATGGCCACTCGCCCAAACGCTACACAGCATATGGAACGACCGCTACGTAGCAATACTGTACAGACCAAATATGTATGGTGCAAGTCAGTTTGTAAAGACTGCAACTTGGCCAATTTCGTCGTATAAATTTTCAAGAGTATTTTTACGCAGTAGAAACTTCCAAAATCGATGTCCACCCAGTGATTGGCTAAAGTCATTTTAGTTTCGAAACTCGGTTTGAAAAACATGAAATCGTCGTTTCTGAAGCCCACGGAACGTTTCAGGCCAAGGGAACGTGAATTTTGACGAGTCCGAATTGCATACGAAATGCAAAAACTTAAGACTACATTACGACCTTTCGACAACTAATCCAAGTCGATCGCTACGGTTACACCTTGTGGGGTGCGTCGGTGGCTCTTGCACTGCTTGTGGGCATACTTGGACATGTTGTAGTCAAGGCCGTAGCTGTAGGCTTGAATGAGGTGTGAACACCGACGAAAGAATTTCCGAATCGAGACCACGGAAACACTTTCAAGGCTTCGCGGAACACATTGAACGAGCCCAATCCACGTGTAGTTGCAGTTGGATCGTGCGTGGCGCTTTGCCGCACCCCAATACGACTCCATCGGGTTGAGTTCCTAGTGGTACTTGGGGAAGAACAAGCACACATGACCAGCAGCCACAATCGTCTCCTCCAGGATCGACTTCTGTTATCAAAAGTCAGCATGAGATGCAAGGCAAGGCAGTATCGAGCACAGGATCGTAGCACCTCAGGGAAGGGTGGCATCGACACCACATTACCGCACGTCAGTAGCATGGCATTATCCCATGCTCCGCGTTCAATCAACACACTCCTGACTCCTTTGGTGAGCCCACGTAAAGACTGGTCAGGATGGTCTTCTGGGCATGTTATTGCTTGAGCAATCTGCGAAGATCCGTGCCAACCGTCACGGAGCCTTGGCTGCTTGACCCCCGGATTGAGATTCATGCTGGACGTTCGGAGAGCATCGGCAGCGTAAGCTGCGTGGTTGGTTGATTGGTCAAACGTGAACAACGCGGTGCATCCGGGGTGCAAAGCCGCAACCGCAGGAAGAACCCTTTGCGTTACCTGCTTGGTCACATGCTCACTGGTCCAGTAGCCCTCCTGGGCCTTGCCAACATGCAGATCCTCTGTGACAAACAATGGTTCAGATTCTCCCAGCATAAACAGGCGGCCATGACATGGGCAAAGAAAGTCAGACACCATAAATGAGCGCCCACGTCCCCTTTTGGTGAGATCTAGATGGGCCGTATTCGTCCAAACCATTCCCCCGTCGTCGTTGGCGTAGAAGGTGGATTCGTCGTGAGTCACCCACACAACCTGCTCCTGTGAGACGTCATTGGGAGACTCCAATATGTCCATGGCCTCCCCCGAAAATGACGCCATCCGCTCGCTAAGCCTCAGTCATGTCGAGCAGAAACCTTTTGGTATTCCACAACATCTTGTCGCTTCCACGAGCCGAACTTGTACCCGGCATGTACCATCCATCGCCGGGCCATGGCTTCTGACACAATTGATTTCATCGCACCTTAAAAATTTAATATAATTGTGAAGTAGAATATACTTAGGAAATAACTTTCGCATTACCTGTGAGCTCGGGGAGGATAGATTCATTGAGGTGTAATCGAAAGTTGTGAGGAGTGCGCATTGAAGGCCGAGTTAACCGCAACCATTGCCCACACTTACTCAAAAAATCCTCGTCGTGAATTAGGGACGGCGTCTTCTGGTGCCGACCTCGTCTAGAGCTCGGAAGGCAACCAAAGCGTTGATATTACTGACACCAATTCAACATCGTGCGTGCTCCGAGGTGGTATGCGGCAGGCAGTAAGGTGGCCGCAGCAGCACAAGCGTCACGTCGAGTTGAGCCAGCCAAACGACACTCATAGAACTTTACAAGCACAACCAATTGGACAAACACAGGGGTGGCGGTCTTCTTGTCCACCAAACGTTCGTTGAGCAAATCGAAATACTGCTGGTCCGAGCGGATAATGGAGACGGTTGGAGAGGCTGCTGGAAGGGCTGAAGTGGATTTGTCAGGAAGCGTTGGATGGGCAACAGGGTTTAGCCAAGTGTCCAAAGAGGACATTGGACACGCCTTGAGAGCGTTTGCGTTTAACGCAGTCTTGCGTCGTTTGCTGCGTGAACTAGTTCCATCGTAATAGGATCGACGTGTGGTGCGAAGCCTTTGAACAAATTCACACATTCCTTGACTGGCAAGGAGTTTTGTCCAAATGTCGGGGTTCAAGTAAAATGGTTACTCTGATGGCATGTCGTCACATACAGATTCTCCTTCAAGCGTTGGATCCTCTCCGTGCTGTAGTTGTTGGCCGAACTGACCTGAAATTCTTCGGTCAGCAGCTCTTGCAGCCTGTTGGCGCTTGGACCGGCGACCCATGCGAGGAGTGGTGCATCCCGATAATTATATCAAAGGTACATCCGGTTACGTTGTATACAAATATCAAGTACAAGGGACAAAGGGACAAGCACCCCAAATGCCAAAATCTGATAGGTCCCATATATTTCCGTTTATGGGGTGCCGTCACGGCAAATCCTATTTCTCCACTATTTTTGCGATTCAGGAAAATCTACGCCGTAACATTTCTTCCTTAGACGCCCCTCTATGGATCTTGAGGCTTTGAATGCGTGGTTTCCATAAATCCTACATGTAATATTCACGAAGAACGACCCCATATTTTTGTAGTCTTTAGCTGACTTGCACCATAGGCCTGCCACTTTTCCGTCCAGCTCCAGGTACTGTACTATACATAATTCCACGCACGTTCACGACTTATCATACGCGACGCTATATACCCCCTCGAATCGCTTTCGTCACCACGCGAGCCGACCCCCTCGCCCTCGAAGGGGTAGCTTTTTCAATTGAGCTGTCTGTGGAAAGGAGGCTCCGTCGACCTCGAAATGACTCTTGATGCCCTGCCCTCACAATGCCCACTGTATACCGGGGACTGAAATCAACACATCGGATAGTCTGCCAGCGTTCGTGTCGTATCAATTGCGTGTCGAGATCGGCGACGCCACTCCTGGTGCCCTTCGATGAGGACGACTGTGGCTGGCAAGGCTGGTGGTGTCAATCGCGATCAGCGGCATCGACAGCGATTGATACCACCAGCCTTGTCAACCACAGTCGTGTCATTCGCGGTCGATGCCGTCGATTCTCCCATGAAATAAGCACTGCGACCGTCGATGTATGTGCCGCGACCAACATTAGTGTTAGCGGTTAGGACAGTGGTGCGATGATGCGGTCGGCGGTGCAAGTCTGTCGGTGTGATTGGCCGCTCCAGTCGTGTGACGTGTTTGGCGGCACAAGTCCGTGAGTTGTGCGGCAGCCACGGCGTTAAGCTGCTGTGTTCGATTACGCCGGTCCTCGTTTATGGGTTGGTTGAATTATGCGGCGTATGGGAAGGTGGAGGAGTTAAATTCTGCAATATACTCCGGAGTATGTGGTGCCGTTGAACAACCTCGTCTCATGTGACCTTCCATTTTATCGGGGGGGTGGTTCTTGGCCCCGAGTCCATCATGTAGATGTGTCCACTACGACATGTACATTACGGGCTTTACGTAGCTGTACCAATCGATCCGAAATGCTGGTCGACGCGTCTTCCTAAGTGATGCGTCTGATTTGGGGTTTCCATTCTTACCTGTTACTGGTACTACGTAGTATTAATACTACTAGTAGCTGTAAATGATGGTTAATTGAGTTTGGATTATCATTTTTAAGACATTCCTCCGCGTGGGCCGACACTAGAACCACATGTTATGGAACCGCTTCGCCAATTGTAACGCGCCTGCTGGACCAGGGGCGGTGTGTAATCATCGGTTTTTACTTCGCTCGTCCTTCGACCGACCTTCTTCGAAGTTCGGTCCTCGTGGCCCTTGTTATCCGGATTCCCCAGGGGAGGGACGGAAATAATCCGGGGAAGCCAGGGATCGAACCCAAAACCTTTGAGTTAAGAAACCGATGCTCTACCATCTGAGCTATTCCTCCCCCCTGGCTGTAAATGATGGATTACCTTTGATATTAACTGTAAGTATATTCCTGGAACTTGCTGTACTATATTATTAATAACAGTTACCTTAGTTACTATTAATACCTACCAAGGTCACTAAGAGCATCTCCACCGCACCTCCAAATGGTCCGTTTATTTTTGGGACAAACCAGAAATAACCAAAATACCCAATATTTCCTCTCCAACGGTCCTCGAAATGGTCCGTTTATAATAACCAGACCCCCAACTTTGGGCAAATTCGACGGATTTGGAGGGACCTCCAAGGTCGGGGTATTTCTGAGTTTCCTCTAGTCAGTAGAATTGTCGACATGGAGACGATCTGTGAAGAAGTTATCGATGCTCCGAACGAAGTTGGAGTGCCTCATGTCAAGAGGATCGGTCGTGGTCTGTCATGGTCCGGAGAGAACGTCACCCTTGTCTCGGCGTTCCTTGAGGTTTCGTGCTGTGCTATCGAAGGTGCAGACCGACGAGCGACATTCTGGAACGGGTAAACATTATTTGCGCGTGGTTTTTGGGTGAATTTCACGTGGTGGTTTTATGGGGTGCGATAATGGTGAATAAAGCGTGGCTCACAAACCGAAGGTCAAAGTACACGTGGTTTTTGAAACAGAATTTTTTAGCATTTCAATACAAAGCAACAAGAAATTGTCAGAGGACATCAAGTGTAACAAGGTTATTTGTCTACGTGAACACAATGCTTGCAAAGTGTACACAGTCATTGACGCTGTTACAAGGGTTAACTACACAGCTTCAACAAAGATCCACAGTACGTCGTAAATGATGCATTAGTGATCAAGTCGGAGAGTGAGAAATTCTTGAGAATCTGTCAACAGTCATCGATGAAGATGCCGGACGACGTGATTCATAGGTCTATCCAACGTTCAACAAAGCAGCGTTGCGTGGGGGCTTCCTCGTAGACTACGGATGTTCTCATGTTGGGTTTCAAATTATCATGAAGGAGATAAATTGCAAAGTACGTCGGGCAAATTGCATATATTCAATACATATTACTGTAGTTTTGAGTTGATCCTGTGATGTCGACACCAAGTGCGAAGGCTTCACTAATTGAATGCCCCAAGGCTTCCGCGGACATTGTAAAGGTCTGCAATTCGTCTATGGGACGGAATCGGCATACCCACATTTTTCGCTCAGGTAGCCGACGATGGTATTCACAGACTCCTCCGTTGTACCGTCGGCCTTATTTTCGATGATGTCAAAGTCCTTGCAGCACTTGTAGTTGATAACTGACAGTGGCTGTAGACCCATCTTTCGCACCAACGTAGGAACAGCGAAGAAACGACGCCTCGGCTCGCTTTCCAATGAGGAGGGGATTTTCCTTGGACGTCCCACTGACTTCCGGGTTGGCAAGGTGGTTAACCTTAACTTTAAGTCGAAAGTCGTCGATGAGGTTGCAACAAGCAACCGTATGCGCACATAGCCACCCTGATTCATGATACGCGAGGCAATCGCACTTGTACTTGAGGCGGACCAACTCGCACTAATCAGTAAAAATCGTGATTTTTAGTTACTTAATTTAATTCTAGGAATAAATTAAACCTATTGCTCTTCGTCGAGTCTGTGAATTCTTGGCTTGAGTAAAACTTGAGCATTGGCCAACACTTCACCCGAGATTGGTGCATCGATCCACGTGGCTGGTGTATGATCGGGCTGTATAGCGTCAGCAACAACAATTCGGGGAATGGTGTGCTCCAGTACAACACTCGTTGTTGCTCGTAGCTCATGGGCGCAAACCTTCACACGCAGTTATAAGCGTAGGTCCAATTATGTGTTACCTGTTTGATACGCTTATGATGGCTCTCAATGTGCTGTTGGTGTGCAGGAATTCCAGGAGTGAGCGACGCAACGAAAAACCAAACGTCCCAGGGGGCAGCAAATAGGTTTCTTGGAACCACTGTGCAAATTCCTCCTCTGCGAGCGATGTTTCCCAGTCCATGAGGACGACACTTGCAATAGTATGAAATTGCATCCACGTCCGTGCAGATCGCATGAGGTGGATTTGAGTGCAAATGACCTTGTAGTTGTCCATGGTCCGAAGCAAGGACTTGTGCTTGTGAACGTTTCGCAGCATGTGGATGGCGCATGACACAACATGGACTTGCGGCCACTGCTTCTTGAGAGCGGTTTGGATGTACTGGGTGTGATCAATTGAGCACGTTGCAACGTCGAGCTGGTAGTCGAAGAACGTGTCAAAAAAACGCTTCAGCGGATACTCGCAATAGCTGCGAATAGGCTTCCTCGCATTCTGAGCGCACAAACAGGTACGACCATGGCATGAAAGAGCTACCAAACTTGTTGGAAAATGTTGTGTACACAACGCCTATGTCAATGAGCGTTCATCCCCCTAGTAATCATTACATCTATCCTCTAAGTAGGGATCGTGTTATGTACGAATCGAAGTGAAGCTTGTATATCCCGTCGGTTGCAAGCGCTACCCCTTCCTTTTGATGTTTCGAAGCTATTGCTACGTTCCACATGTTCTGGCGTGACGTGAACACGATCCCAGCATATGGGCGTTGCTCAAGCCCGTCGAGTCCAACAGTATTCGTCCACCCCGTAAATACGCTAAGTACCAGCAGCTGCTCCATGGCAGAACGTTAGTGAGCTTTGAGAGGTGATACTTACTTGTACGCATTGTCGAGGGCGGCGAATTCAACGTAGTTCTGAGGCGACCTGCTCCCAAGAAATTCATCGCGTGTCGTACACATCTTGTCGGCTGACCATTCCTGAAGGGTGTGAAATGTCTCAATTTCCCATCCTCCGCCGCGTTGCTTCGTAATGTGCTTTCGTCGTGCAGCCAGCTGCTGTCTTGTTGGTAACCGTAGGAGCACAGCAGCGTCATGTTGGTAAATGGTTCTCAGGTGCACCTGTACGTCGTAAGTACTTTAAAAACCTTAATACACCATACTACCTCCAACTTCAATGGGGTAAAACCACCTTTTAGATATGAATCGATCTCAGCGCGCAAGGAGGGATGAACTCCACGTGAACGAGTAACGGCCGTGTCCTCGCTGTGTGCAGCGTTGGATCTCTCAAGACGTGATACAAACGTGAAGACGACGATACGCATCTTGTGCGTACACCCAGTATGACTAGAGCACGCGTATACGTAGGAGCGCTTCGTGTCGGAGCACTTGTAGTTGCGCAAGTGCCTGTAGCGATTTGTACTAGATGACTCCATACGCTACCTTTAAGTTAATATCATGGAACGACTACCGACAGTTCATTACATCATAATTACAATTACTGAAGCAAAAATTGCTTGACCACACAAAAGTTAGTATTAATAATTGTGACATCCAGGTTATCCGGAGACGACTTCCGGCGAACGTACTCAGTGTCCAGCGCACTCTGACTATCTGGCATATTGTACATCAACACCGGGGATCGAACCCTGTAGCACTCGGTTACCAAGCGGGAGCCCTACCACGTGAGCTATTTTCCTTTTCATATCCAAGAGCACCTATGTCCTCTTGGATATGAAAAGGAAAATAGCTCACGTAGTACTTAAAAGTATTTATAGACAAACCTATATATAAATTCATGTACCCGTTGATGTAAGTTACTGAGAGAAAATGCCTTCGGATGAACCATCAGCCATCTTTGACCGCGTGTGCGATCGTGTCCAAATCCTATGGCCTGGGACTGGTGCAATTACCGAAATCAGGCTGAAGATAACCGACCGCCTCTTGGTGTCGTCACCTATCCCGATGCATGCTGGTGAAGTGGACTTCATTGCGGACGAACGCACTGTGGAGAGAATGGGAAAAACATGGCACCAGTATCTCGTTCACTGGGCCCGACCTCATCTATTGGGGTGCACGCGATCATGGGTGATAAGCCGCTCTATGAAACATTGTCCCGAAGCGTTGGGTGTGTACACGCGTTGGCGACAACATCCTGGCAACTTTACGTATTCCGAATACCGAGTACGCGACGCTCGTTTTTTGGAATTTGGTGAAAATTCAACAAAAACCTGCCTTTTTCAAGCGTTCAAAATTATCAGCGACAAGTTGGGCCTGCATTTACGCGCCACTGCAGCCGATTTGGTGTTATCTATGACAACCAACTCCATCCCACTGTCCCATGGCATTCCCCCATCCAAGTTACCTGCCTTTGTCCAGTTTCTGTTCGCGAGGGGGCTCCGGATTTGTTTGAAGACGTTTGCGTCTGATTTGCTTACCAATCAAAGTGGCGATCCGAAGTTAACTCCCTAGCGTTGATTTTGTTCGCGCAGTCCGTCGCATTGTTGTTTGTAAAGGTAGAAAGCGTAATCGAAAGCGAGCGCGTACGTAGTAGTTGTACGTTTGAAGTATTCACAGTCAACATGATTAATCATGCGCGGGTTTTTTCAATATATCTTGTCATCAACAGTCCACCCTTGTGTGCAGAAACAACAAATAACAACGAAATGAGTACATTCAACGTCATCACTACAGTTCCACCGCAACAAAGCAAACGGACCCTCGACGTAGCATGTTGGACATCAACCGCTACAATAAATACGACGAGATAACCATTCATTGGGATATGTCGTAGTTTCGACTGAACATACGCACGTCATCGGCTAATGCTACAAAGGGATATACATACGTGGGCTGATAATGCGATGGGCTGGTTGTGGATAAGGGAACTCGAGTGACCCGAGGTGCTTGAACTATAGGCAGACGACTGGTTGTAGGATTCGTTGAAGCGGAAGGGGACGTTGATGCATACAATGAGCAATGATCAATGGTGAAACGAAACGATGATGTTGTGAATGTAGAAGTACCGGAGCTGATATGATTGGTGTCGAGTAGAGATGCGTGCGATGAGCTTGATGCCAACTACTTCGAAGTAGCAGCTGAGTGTGTTTGGTGCGAACACCATGTTTCGAAACGTAAATCGAATTTGGAATACTATTAAATTTCGCGGTGTTTTTTATAATTTAATACGACGACAATATGCCACGCGTGAATGCCTCAAACAGAAACATACCACGTGAAAGTGCCCTTTCAATGGCACCACGCGCGATACACCGAAAAACCACGTGCGAAAAATTCATACCCATTCTGGAACTCCGTACGAGAAAACTTCCAGAAACGTGGAGGATCTGTAAGTATTGTCGGTATATGCACATCTCTAATGTCCTCTAACTTTGCTGGCCTACCATCTGTTCGTCATCCGAATATGAGCGAATGCAAAACGAGCACCAAAACCTTATCCCACTCTTCACATGCAACAAGCGTCGACTGGCGTGGATTCGTTCCCCGACGAGGGCTAAACTCGCATCAGTCATTCTTGAATTCACGTTGCCATGGTCAAAGCTGCCCTCGTCCCTCTTGCTGTTGTCGCCTCCGCCGCACAGGCTTTCGAAACCAAAATCATCAACGGCATCGAAGCCCCCATTGGCAAGTTCTTGTACACAACGGGTTTCCACACCGAGGACATCAGCGGCGCCTACTGCGTGGGGGCGCTGATCGCCCCCAAGTACGTTTTGACCGGCGCCACGAGCGCCCACACGGTTCACCAACTGTATTTGAGTTCGCAGAAGACCGCCTTCAAGTACATTGATTGCTGGCACGTGCTTAAAATGCAACCCAAATGGTAGGTACGTGTGCGAGAGTATACTTGTGTTGTGTAACATGCATATTCATGCTATAATGATAGCAACTTGGCAGTCCTGCTTCGGTTAGTCTTAAATTGGCCAAGTGCGAAATCAAAGATCGCAATGCAACCAAGCAGCCCGCTGACGAGGCGGACAACAAGGACTTTGACCTTGAAGGCCGTCCCAGTGGAAACAAGTTGGCAAAGCGTATGCTGAAGAAAGATGAGTTGTTGCAAAAGTCAGTCGCCATCCAAGCAGAAGTCGCAGAGGTATTCATTCCAATTTAGCATTTTCGACCACATTACATTACAGATGCTATTATAGGCTGCAAGGAGCGCAATATAATTTTGAAAAATCAAGCTCGTACAAATGAACAACGAGTCAAGAATGAAGAGACGAAGTTGGAGCTGGCTATGATGAAGGCGATGTTCGAGCAGGCGCGCGACTCGCAAGAGCCCGAGGCCATTGAGATCAGACGCATCTTACTTCAGCAGTCCCTGGCTAA